TATTTGTAACTCCCTTCTCTGACAGTGAGGAAGCTGGCTCTTACCGTCCATGCTGTATTTACTCATTTGCGCGTTCCTGTTTGTAACCAGTATGCTACCATTACTGGCCTGCTGTTCCACTAGGTCACCTTTCTTGCTCAGGTTTCAGTCCCGTGGGCTCTTGCCTCCTCACTGCCCTGATTCTGCACCATGTACCATATTGTTTTTGAGTGTGAATTCCTTTGACAGTCGGGAGTTCTAGCTTTCTACATGAATCCTATGTAGCTAGTAGGTGTACAAGAGCCTCGGCGCTACTTGTGTTTAGGGTGTTATCATGTCTGTCTTTATATCTATGTTCATGGCTAGCTTTCTGTTAAGCATGAAGATGAAAGAAAGAAAAACAAACCGAGTATGCGCATGCACACACATTTTAAGTTGTATATGTTTGACATTCAGGTCTGCCTTCTAATAGATGCCTTGTACGTTATAAGATTTTGATAAATGTTTATTAGATTTAAAATTTTGTCAGAATAAAAAAATATTTGGTGTCTTTAGTCGATAACCTGATTCATACCTTTGATTTTTTTTAGTTGAGTTTTGCTTCCCCATATTTACAAATGCTGAGCTGGTTTGACTTGGGTACAAAAGTGATTTATTTGGTTCATATATTTACACATAATGAATTTCACCCTTTTTAACATCCAGTTCTCTGAATTTCAAAACATGCATAGATGTGCGTAACCGCTGCCACAGTCGAGATAGAAGACAGGTCCACCCTACCCCAGAGTTCCCATTTCCCTTTTTAGTTAACACTTCCCCTTATTCCACAACCTTTGCCAAACACTGATCTGTTTTATGTCCCTGTGGATTTGCCTTCTCCAGAATGTCATATAAATGGAATTATTTTGAGTCTGGCCTTTTTCCGCTAGCATAATCACTTACCTTTCATCCATGTTGTTTAGTGTTGTCGAATAGTATTCTGTTGTATGCATGTCCCAGAGTTTGTTTACCCATCCGCCAGTTGAAGGACGTTTGGATTATTTCCAGTTTGTGACCATTAAGAATAAACTTGCTGTGAACATCGCAGCACATGTCTTTGTATGGACATATGTTTTTATTTCTCTTAGTTAAATGCCTAGAAGTGGAATTGCTGGGTCATATAGTAAGCATATGTTTATAAGAAACCATGAAGCTGTTTTCCAAAGTAGGATACCATTTTCCACTCCCATTAAAAACGTGTAAGACATTCATTTATTCCATGTCCTCACCACAAACAGTAATATGATTTTAACCATTCTGGTGAGTGTATAGTAATATTTACTTTTTGTTGTCATTTGTTATCTTTTGTTTTGCATTTCCCTGGTGACAAAATGATGCTGAATATTTTTTTGCATGTGTGCTTATTGGCCATTCATATATACAGTCTTTTCTGAAGTGTCTGTGCAAGTCTTTGACTCCGTTTTTTAATTGGTTTGTCTTCACATTAATGAATTGCAAGACTTGTCTATATAATATGGATAAAAGTCCTTTGAGATAGATTTGTGTTGTTTAGATCTTCTGTGTCCTTACTAGTTTTTTGTCTAGCTGTTTTATTACTTATTCATTAAATATCTATGATTGAGGATTTATTTCTCCCTTTACTTTTGTCAGTTTTTGCTTCATTTGGTTGAAGCTTTTTTATTAGGGGCATCTACGTTTACAATCATTATAGCTTACTAATGCATTGACTCTTTTATTAACATGAAATGTTCTCTTTGACCCATAATACCTTTTTTCCCCCCAGAATTCGACTTTGTCTGATACTAATATAGCTACTTCAGTTTCCTGAGAGTGTTTTCAAACACGGGAAATAATAGAGAATATCTGTATGCTGATAGAGAAATTTCTATCGGAGAGGGAGGGAGCAGTGAAATGTGGAGGTGTGGTGGGGAGGTATTACTCTATGAACAAAGCCCTCAGGCAAGAAGTCGCATTCACAGCTAGATTCCCCCGTGTGTGATTTCAGGCAGGAAGAAAGAAAGGATGGTTGCAGATACAAGCAGATTTTTAGAGTTGGATATACCTTAGATTTATTTAAAAAATCTAGCCGTAGTGTTCCAGAAACCACTAATCAAAGAAACGTGGTTTCAGTTCTTATTATCAACACATGAGGGTGGTAGTTCAAATGTCGCTGATTCTTCACATAATTGAATTGCGGTTAATGGGTTAATAGTAAGTGGCTGTATGGAACATCATTAGGCCCTGGGGTTGTGGCCCTTATGTTAGCGTCCTGAATCTCCCTTGTCCTGAAAAGTTTTCATTATATACTGTCTGGTTTTCTGAAGTAGTCTGCAAATTGAGCGTATTTTCCAGTGAGGTTCAGGATATGGAAGTGTCTTGGGGATGTGAAATCCATTTTGCTGGAGGTTCATGGGATGTCAGGGAGTCTGAGGTCGGGTACTGCAGCTAAGTCTCCGCACATGTGAAAACTTTAAACATAGATTATCTTTATTTGAATGTAGTTTAAACTTTTTAAGTTATTTTCTCTCCTAAATTTTGTTAACTCCCTACTTTGATTTCATATCTAAAATTGTGATTCTTAAAGGGGCGTAATCTTCAATTCAAGGAAACAGTTGGAAATGATATCAGTAGGCTTCTACTATTAATAAAAACACAGAGAATTGTTTTTAAAAAGAACTCTACTTTGAGCATTTCTGAGGAGGCCTGGACATTGTTCATTACTAGGATTGAAAAATTGTCCATATTCCTCAGATACAGGGACAATCAGTGTAGTCCACCTCCTTCCTTCAGTGGCTGATTCGGGAGTGGGCATGTTACCCAGATCAACCCCAGCAGAGTCGTCCTGGGACGTTTTTGCAGAGCACGTGGGCGAGAGTTCCCCCTTTTTTCCCCACTGGGGTCTCTAAGAGGATGGGATATAACTCGGGGGTTACTAGAATTCTTGACCCTATGGGGAGAGAGGCTGCCCTGGTAATGGAGCCAATACTGAGCAAATCTGAGGTCACACACACACACGCACACACACACAGTCATTCCTACAGATACCAAGCGATTTGCAGAGCACGTGGGCGAGAGTTCCCCCTTTTTTCCCCACTGGGGTCTCTAAGAGGATGGGATATAACTCGGGGGTTACTAGAATTCTTGACCCTATGGGGAGAGAGGCTGCCCTGGTAATGGAGCCAATACTGAGCAAATCTGAGCACACACGCACACACACACACACACACAGTCATTCCTACAGATACCAAGCACGCTCTCAGTCTGATCAGATTGACTCAATTAAATAAACCAGTAAGTTACTTTAAAAAAGTCAATTCAAATTGTTTTTTTTCTGTCTCTTGCAGCTAAAACAGCCATTATTAATACATTGCATATATTTTTAAAGACCTAAGTCAAAATATAGTAAAGAGCGAGATTCAAAGAAAAGCACCCACCCTGTAGAAAGAGTCCACCATGCACGTACTCTGTTCTGAGACCTTCTCTCCCTCTCAGGAACGCTTCCTCAGGGCTCGCTTTCCCAGATTTGTTTCTACCCAGCTTCTTGCTTGACTTATAAATAATTGCTCCTGAGCTTTGGAACTTGGTGTTATGTTCTGCCAGATTCTCTTCCCTACCTCTCTGCTCATTTCTGGCTTCAAAATATCCATCACCTTGCTCTTGAGGTCGCTCTAGTGAGTTCTGCTGTGTCCTGTGAGCCAGCTTTCCTCTAAGGGACGCATTTGCTGTCCTAGCAACCAGGTGCGGAGGCTTGGCTGTCCCGGAGTCAGGCTGTGGTTGGTTAGTGCCTTGTGGGGACCACGTGGAAGAGGAAGGAGGCGCATGGTACAGGACACCCATAGTCCTGTTTCCAATCCTGTGATCTTTTAGGAGCAGAGTCCAGAGACCCTAAGGCCTGGCGACTCACATTCTGTTCCCTTCCCCTCCTGCAGTCCCGGCCTGCGTGGCACCGTGGAAGACCCCTGGACAGATACAGATCATTTTGCAGGAGCCCTTTGTCCTTTTTTCTTAAAATACTTCAAACAATATTGAGCCATTTTTAAAGGGCATTAGTTTTCCTTATTGCAGTCACAGAGAAATAGAAAGAGGGAGACAGATTCTGCTGTTCTAAGTTGTTAGAGACCTGTTCTTGGGTTAGTGTGATCTAAGCCCAGAAAGAATTTGCAGTGGCCTGAAAATGGTTTATCATGGAAGGGATCGTCAGGGGAGATTTAAATGGTCAAAAAGGTCAGCAGGCACGGAGAAGGTCAGGGTCCTTGAATGGTAAGTCAAAGAACAGAGCCAGCTTCTCTAGGGAAGAGAAATTCACGGAAAGTTTGTTTGGTAAGAAGGTAATTTAATTAGATTTTTTATTTCTAGAAATTTGTAGGATGGTGGCATCGAGAATACCAGGGACTTTGTGGAGATTTAGGAGTGCTCGTCAGAAGAACACAGTGAAGGGCTCGGTGAAGCGGCGTGTTCAGCAGTAGGAAGAGTCGGCTGTGGTTGAGAGTTTGAAAGGCCTTGGAAAAAGCGGTAGCAGGTGTCAAAAAGGAGACCAGGGACGGGAACTGCTTGGAGGGGAGAGACTAGGGTGGTTAGTGATGCTTTGAGTTTAAAGTGGTAGTACCACGTGGAGACTGGATT